TCTTACATTTCAGGCAAAAGTTAGATGTCATTTTTCTAGCCTTAGACGGACTCAAGGCCCTGGTCAAGTTTTTCTAGAATTTGATTCTTGCATAATTGCCGCTTTAGGAATAGCTTTAATGCCTAAGATGAGAGATTATGAGGTCTTTGATATTTCGTCTCAATGTTGGAGTATTTATTCTTTCTTTTAGGTTAGATTCCATAAGAGCATCAGCCATAACGACGCGGCAGCAACGAGACGTCGCGCCTGAATTTACTTTTTTTTTTGTTCCTGCAATTGTTGCTAACATAAATTCATCTGACTCGCTCAATATCTCTTGCTGCAGTGCGCTCGCATCGTCATCTTCAGCTGCCTCCAATATCTGACAAATTTCATCATCTGCAAGAGTTCGAGACATCTTAAACAATATATTTTATTGTATAAAAATATAGAAACATATATATGTATATAAAACACAAAATCTTTGTAAAAAGTAATAAAATAACGTACACTTACCTTTTCTTGAAACTCAGGGAAACACTAAACTTTCGTAAATTTTACGACACCTTAGTTATAACTCAATACACAAATCACATCCGACCACAACAGCGCGTAGCAAACAGACCGACGCAATTAGGAAGGTACAGTGAAGCGGGGGACGCGTATAACGCGAACTTTGTTTTTTTCAGGAATCATGACTTTGCCGTCGTAAATTTGACGATAGTTTAGTAATCTGGGGTTAATAAAATTTACAAATTACAAATTTTAATACACTATATCTAAAAGTTAAAATAGCAAATTTTTGTTTTCTCATAAAGTGAAATAGTAATTCTAAACTAAAAAATTAGTATCTTTAAAATTATTTAAAGCGTGCATGAAAACGCCTTGCTTTTTACATTGTTTAAAATCTTATTGTGTATTTTTTTATTACATTGTGGTTCCGTACATATTTTGTGTATTACTTTGGTTTCTGCGTGCGTTAATAATTATAAAAAAAAATGTAGATAAGGAACTGAAGTTTTGGAGATAATTTTAATCATTTTTTAATGTTTCTTCTTTAAAGTTTTTTTAAATTTTTAACTAAATAAAATTTCACGCGCAACCAAAGATAGCAAAGTAACAGTAGAACTACCGGAATCAATTTTATCACCCGTCATACCTTCAACGCCTAGGAGAAGCCGAAAATAGTTTGTGATGTCGACCTTAACTTTTTAGTTAGATTCATTAAACTCTATGATGGGTCTAGGGAAACACTCCACCCTTTTATCGTTAATTGCAATAGTGCCTTTGAATTAGCATCAGATATTCAGAAACCTATTTTATTCAGATTTGTACTCAGCCAATTACATGGAAAACATGAAATGGCCTGTTCTATTAAAGAATTCGCCTCGAGGGAGCAACTCAGCTTTTTTGATGACACAGTTTAGCCAAAGAAAGCATTAATTATTCTTACCTTCTAACTTTTATTATTTAAAAATTTGTTTAATTACAAGAGTGCAGGCAGAACCCTAACAAAACAATAACTCAATTTTCTCTTAGGATAGAAACGTGCAATAGAAACCGTACTAAAATTAAGGCGGTTCCGGGTCGTGGAAGACTTAGCCCTCCATCACCTTACAATGGGATTACACCCAAAAATTTCAAACATAGTAAGATAAAGGAACCCCAAAAACCTTTACGATGCCACTTATTTTGCTGTTATAGAAGAAAGAATCTTACAAAACGATTGTAAAGAAACGAACAAGTTAATAAGCCTGGTATAAAATATAATACTAATAGTAATAAAGCTCAAACTCAACGACCGCAATAAAATCAAAAAATATATTTATTCACATAGACGCTTGCGCGTTCTTGTGAAATGTCAAAAATTTTACATAAAAATTAATACAATAATATTTTAATTAATACAATAGTTTCTGTTGAGAAGAAACCGGCAAGAAACTCAACAGTTGCTCTTTTTTAAAACGATTAGTTTACAATATAATAGAAAAAGTATGTCATTTTAGCCTACGTGAGTATCAACAGCATTAACCCCACACATTGGCGTCAAGATATTCTGCAATGGTATAATATGCCTTATCCATAAGTTCGCGATTAATTTTGCGTTTAAATTCATCTAGTGGCAGACTTTATACCGATTGTGGGATTTTATTATACATGCGCACACTTTGCCCCATGAACGATCTATTTACTTTTTTAGACGAAACAATGGTGTAATTAATTTGTCCTTATTTCTAGTATTTAATTTATGTCTGTCACTATTCTTTAGATAACAATTAAGATTATGTCTAACGTACAAGATATTACAATAAATATATTGGGACGCAACAGTGAGTATATTAATATCTTTAAAAATATCTCTGAGTGTATCCCGGGCTCCGATGTTATAGATTGGTCGGACAGCTCTTTTTTGAAGAATAAATATAGAATTTATATCAGATGCACTACCCCACAACAAAATGCCGTACAATAAGATGCTGTGAAAATAACTAAAGTAAACAAGTCTGGCAGTGTCGATGTCTGTTAGCTGTCTAACCTTCCTAATAGCAAAAACAGCGGAGCTTAGCCTAGAGATAATAGATGGGGACTCCACTGAAGCTTTGAATCTACTTTAATCCCCAAGAAAACTGCAGACTCAACAGGATTGAGGGATACGTTATTTAATAATAAACTAAAACTTTGCCTTCTCACACTAGGAAGAGTAAAAAGAATACATTTAGTTTTTTTGGCATTTAATACCATATTATTTATGGTGAACCGGTGAAAGATATGCGAAAGTGCACCATTTACGTCGTCATAATTGGATAAATTTCGGTCAACCTTAAATATGAAGGCTACGCAGTCGAAGGCTTTTGAAAGGTCACAAAAGACACGTAACGCATCTTGTGACCTTTCCCAGGCGTTATAGATATCCTTAACAAGTGCGACACCCGCATCGGTTGTCGACCTGCCTTTAGTGAATCCATTATCCTCATCGTGAAAAATTTTGTTCATATTAAAATGTACTAATAGTTGATTTAAAATTAGTTTTTCAAATATTTTACTTAGAGATGGCAATATGGAAATAGGTCTATAGTTACCTGGATAATTTTTATCCCCATCTTTGAAGACGGGGATTATCTTACTAAATTTCATAAGATCTGGAAATATTCCAGAATCTATACAGTTATTAAAAATGTAAGCCAAATGTGGTGCAATATACGGCATTATTGTGGTCATTAATTTTATGGACATGCCCCATAAATCCTCTGTACTTTTAAGATTAATAGAATTCAAGGCATGATATCATTAGTATCTACGTGATTAAATTTAAACGTGTGTCGACAATAGGTAAAGTTATTTTGCAATACATTAATACATGACGGTGAGTTGTATTATATATAGTCATGTTAAGACTATATATGTGTTTATTTTGTTCCTCTGTAAGGAAAGAGGAATATGGAAATTAACAAATTATAAATTTGCACTTAGTCTTATTGTGTAAGTCATGTAATATTTCCATGTTGTTAATAATTTCCTGTTTCCGAACAGAAGAACTATCCCCATGAAGCAGTACAATAGTACTATTTTCATTCAAGTTTCATGTTGAGGTTTTATTAATATTATTTGAGTAACTGGCACCGGATGAACATATATTATATACATTATTTATATGTTTTGAAAGTAGAGAACCAAAACCTTGCCCTATGTTATCTGATATAATTATAACGTTTTGTTTCTGATTGTGTATGACCAAGTTACTTCCTATGTCTTCAGATATATTTTGAGTTGATGATTTAGTTGGATATTGTGATTTGGAGCAAAAACATGTATTTTTGCTTGTAAAAGATTCAAATCTATTATAGTTATAATTACAGAGATCTAATAAATTATCAGCTGCTAGAATATGCTCTTGAATTTGTTTTTGGGATGATTCATATTTAGCATTTACTGTTTGAAGTGTATTATTTAAGTTAGTAATTTAGTTTGAAGCTGAAGTATCTCTTGGTCATACTTGGTCATACTTAGACCTACTTTGATCTAGTTTATTTTTATAGATTTTTGCTTTGTTATATAATTTTAACTGCTCATTTTTCATATCATATATTTGTTGAAATGTATATCTATTTTTTAACAATTTATTTGTTTTCTTAATAAATCTTTTAATGTTAAGATATTTCTTAAGTTTGTTATGTGTGGAAAAGCGAGATTGCTGGATATAAGAGTCATCTTTTGTGAGGTCTATAAATGTTTGAGAGTTACATTCCACCAGCTCAGCATACAGATTTTGGGTCTGTTTTGCACCATAAGATATATTAATTTGTTCTAGTTTGCGGATTGAGTTATTTGCCTCATTTAAATTAGTTTCTAGTTCTGTTATTTTATTTAGGGCCTTCTCATGCTCATTACTGCACTGGTTGAATGCACTCACAATTTCATTTAACTTGTCCCGCTGTGCAACTATGTCCATATAACTTTTATGTAGTTCAGCGAGTTCACCTTTTAATTCAGAATTTTTTTAATTATGTTCTGAATTTCCTCCTCACTTTCTTCACGCTCTTGCATCAGCTGTTTGCAAAGGTCTTGAGATGTTTTCAATTCTTGCAATGTATTTCTTAGTTTATATTCAAGATCCTTAGCAGCTGCTTTACGGGTGAGCATTACTTTATCCATTGTTAATATTCTGTAATAGTTATAGAGAGGAGTCTGAGATTATAAGGAAAGGGAGAAAAAAATAAAATTAGAGATATAATCAAAAGAAGATAAAAGTATTAATAATTAAGTTAACCGATTCAATGCGGTGGACTATTTGACAAACTTTCATGCCTGGCTACGAACAAATGTTTCGTGGCTCCTCTGGGGCGCCCAACGCCAGGCACTTTGATGGCTCCCCTAAGGCGCCTTCCGCCATGTATTGTAATGTATCGCTTTTTTGTTGTTTCCACTTGCTGTAAGTTTAGTCGCCAACCAAAATCGAACGTAAGCGGTTTTATTGTTCGTTTAGTGTATAAAAAAGTGATTATCTACGTGTATTAATGGAAATGGAAGGTAAGTGACTCATTTATGTAAGGTGTTGTAAACCTTTTTGTAGTTTTCATTGAATTTATAAAAACTATACTTATTTCTTTTCTAGTCTGTCGACAAAATTTAAATTCATGATAGATTTTTTATTTAATTACATTTATTTACATAAATTTAAAAGATTTACAATTCAGTTTACGCACTTTTTATTTTAAACAAAAAGTAGTTACAGAAAAATTCGTCGTAATGCTCACAGCAAGTTTTTTTTTTTGCTTGATATAAACATATATTCTTTTTTGTTCTAGAATTACCAAAAAAAAGAAAATATATCCCAGAATCACAACTGGAAACGCAATGTGACACTGACTACGAGTTTGTCGAACAGGCTTATTTAGAACAAAATTCCCAGACTTATGATGACTGGGAACCTGGTCAAGAAAATGAAGATGAAATAAATTCTGCGGCGGAAGGTACAAAAAAACCTACGAAAGATTGTGCAACGTACACAGAAATATCCACCAAAGATATTTCAACGTTTACTGAAAATATAATGGTAGAAGATAAAGAACAATTTACGAGTACAACCGTCGTGGATATTCACGCCTGTAAATATTTTTGGGAAATTCGTATCTAACGAGTTACTACGTTTTAGTATTAATGAGAGATATATTATAATGCAAAAAATTATAGAAACGCTAAAAAAATAATTTTATTAATAAACCATAAGTTTTAAATGAAAAGAGTTTTAGATGAAGAGAGAGAGGCGAGTTAAATGAAAAGCATCGGTTTTTACATAATATTAAGGTTTATTTATTAACATTGTGCAATAATATTACATAATTGTACTTATTTATAAGGTAGATTTTTACTATAATCATTAAAAAGACTGATTTAGTTGTGTGTGTATTAATTGAAATCATGAAATACCTGCAAGCTAAAAATATCATAAATATTAAAAATTTCTAATACATTTGTTAATATTTATGATATTCTCGGAAGCATGGGGTGAGACATAACCCTGGGAATTCTGGGCAATCAGAACAACCATACATAACCAAGTTTCTTTTTTTTAGTTTTGCTATAGCATACTCTGCATCGCTTTCTCATTGTCCTTCCACCACTCTTAGTAAAAGTACTAGGTAAATGTATTTTTCTTTCAACAAGGGATCGTTGTGGCACGGTTGGTGGCTTTAATAAATTTTCTAATACACTTTTTCTAAAATCATATAATTCTATATTCGATTTGCTTATTTCTCGATATAAAAGAAAGCTATTCACCAAACATATTTGGATTAAATGGATTATAACTTTTTTATACCAACGTAAGGTTTTTGTGTTTGCAGGAATAATAACTTAAAAGCTGGTCGTGCCTATCAATTGCTCTCATGTATTTATTGTACTGAATTAGTACATCAGGCTTATACTTTATAGTGCGTATTCGGCGACTATTAGTCCCTTTGTAAATGCTTTTATGCTGCGAGCTCAAAAGCAGCACTTCGCGTTTATCCTGCCATTTGGTAACAACAATTTTTTTGGAATTGTGAACAATACAAGATTCACCGGTGTTTAATTTTATATTAATTAAAGTGGGATTACCAGCGCGCTTTGCTCGTAGTGTACCTGTTACGTACGTGTTTTTATCTAAAAGCTCCTCTGCTAAACCAACGCTGCTATAATAATTATCAATATAAAGTGAATGGCCTTTATTTAAATATTTTTCTATTAACAACATTACTACTTTTTTTACATGATTTTTTCCACCTACCAATTGATCCCCAGAACCAGCATATAAATGAATTTTTATTACTAGGCCATTCATGTCAGCTAACATATATAATTTAATTCCATAACGATGGACTTTCCCTTTTAAATACTGGCGGAAAGAAAGACGTCCTTTCCACAAAATCAAGGATTCATCTATTGCAACATTATTGGATGGGTAATAAGTTGTGGACATTGTTTCGTTGAACATATCTATTAACGACTTTACTTTAAAAAATACTTTCCGGCCTCATTTCATCTTGGACATTTAATGCTCTTAATATTAAATAAAACCTGTCCCTAGCCATAAATGAATGTGGGCTTAGGCGCATTAAATAATGTCGAGACCAATATTCGGCCATTCTATTAACTTTCACGGTACCCATAAATAAAATTATGCCAATAAATACCGTGAACTCCTCAAGACTTATCTCCTTCCATTTTGTAAAACGAGCTTGTGCGGTGCGTGCTGCAATCTTCAATTCATTGCCGCACTTGTTTGTACAGTTTAAAATTAAATCAATGATACGACTATTGAAAAATAAAAAGAAAAAATCTATCGGTGTTTTTCCACTCATGTTATGAGGCGGTAATAAACCAGGTGTGCCCGTAAAAGGAATCTCGGCCATATTCGAGGGGTTTCCATTGAACCAATCGGTAGTAGGGGCTTCCTCAGTTGTATTTTCAACGTCCTGTTCTAACTGATCTTCAGCACAAACGGCTTCTTCATCTTCTGTGTTTTCATTTACCAAATCTTCCAGAAAGTTATCCACATCCTGTGCCAAAATCCCATACAATTCTGCATCACTTATAATAGCATCAATGCATGGCATGTCTGATAAGTTTATATGGCTGGGAGACATCATTCCGGATAACTCCATAGATATGAGATCCCAATTTGACGGGCCAGGTTCAGGGGATGGAGGAGTAGCCATTTTGGTTAGCAACTGAAAAAAATAGTAGAATAAGTTATCTAGCAGTCAACACACTTTATTTTATACGTTATAAAGGTGTTGTAACACAGACGAACACACACACAAACACACACACACTCTCTCACACAGATATACATTCTCACATTCACTGTCATACACAAGCACACACACATACACACTCACACAGTGTTTGTACATGTGAGTGTGTATGAGTGTAAGTGTTTATCTGTTTCGTCGAATGTTATGTATTTAAGCGCTTATGTGTGTGTATGTGGTGTTTTGTGTGTCTATGTATGAGTCTGGGGGTGTTTGTCTGTTCATTTGTTTCAAGAGAACACCTTACATAGGGTACCTATCTTTCCGCTTAACGTAGAATTTTAAGTGTTTTACCTCTTACTTAACATTGTGTAGTTAAAGACAGAATAATAAACGAACAATTTAGAAAATTTTGTATTTTTTTTAGTTCTGAACACTGGTCACGAAATGGGATTTTTTCCAAAAACCATAAAATGTTCAATAACTCAAGACTGATTTATTTTGGCATATGAGTGTTCCTACAAAAGTTGTAGCACGAGACCTGTGCTACATGCCCTATCTAGGTTTTCCTCTAACATGGAATCACTCTGTCCCTCATGTTAAATTTCAAAAAGCTCATGTTAAATTTCAATGATTGAAAAGACTAGAAAAGAAAAAAAAAGAACATTGTTAAAAAAACTCACCTTGTAAAGTCAAGAATCAAAACAGAGTCCAAATTACTAGCCGGGGTAGTCACTGAAGCAAAATCTCGAAGTCCAGATACACAGTCCACAGTTGTTAAAAGGCAAACTAAGAGACTTCAGAAGCGAGCATTAAACGGTCACAACGTGCTTACGTCTGATCACCATAAATAGCAAAACAGAAGTAAACGAAAAAACATCATCGATAGTTAAGTAATTTGCGCGTGAGAAACCTTGTTAAGTGATTTATGGCACCGACTTCTTTTGTTTTTAGTTAAATAACATCTTTCCCTAGCCCATCAATAAAAAGGGTCGGTCGGCACGGCATATTAACAATAAGCAGTAGGGCAATAAAAAGCTTAAAAATCTTTAAAACATCTTTGATATGACTGCATAGCATAACAACAAAAGATAGACATAAACTTGCAAAAGAGCATATCCACAAAGCAAAAAAAGTGAAAACAGATATTTTTTAAATATTTAACTGTCATGATTAGTGCTATTCGTTTGTAACCCTTAATATTAAATAACATTTAAATAACGCTTAAAATGGTTTACCATCCCCGAAGAGTGTGAAATCACGCTACACCTTAAAGCGATTTCTCTGGAAAGGATCTACGTGATAAATAAAGACACTAATATTTTTAGAACACTGAAATATGTACTATTGATAAATTTAAATTAATCAGTTTTTTTTGGTTTCAAATATTGGCTCCTCTGGGGTGCCACCCGCCATGCACAAAAGTTACCTTTCATAATTATTGTTTCTATTGAAAAGGTTTACAACATCTGAAATGTCTTTTTTCACGCTATATCTTGAAACTAATACTAGTATCGTAATCTACGTGACAAATAAGGAAACTTTCATTTAGGGCTAGCCTCTGAATAAAGCTTTTTTAGCGGAGTTTTACAGGAAAACATTTTGGCTCCTCTCGGGCGCCACCCGCCATACACAAAAGATACACATGGCGCCTCTGCGGAGCCATCCGCATTGAATCGGTTAAGGAAAAAAAGATGTAAGAATATTAACAAATTTAATAAGGAAATTATCTATTTATTTTACTATTTCAGAATAGCTGTTTTGAGGTGGATTTACAACTTTTATGCACTTATAATTTTATAATTAATAAATATATATATAAGATATTGTATTTATTAAATATTAATTCTTCAAGTTAATTTTATAGACCGCTTTAAGAGCAGTGCTGTAAGTAAAAAGTTAATAGTGTGAATGTTATCTTATAACCACAAAGTTTTGGTTTTATATATTTTAATGTGTGTAGAAGTATTTGTGAAGTCGATTAGAGTATGAGTCAAGATGTCTGTGGCAAATGTTTTTGTCTTCAACTTTGCCTCCATCTTGTCAAGCAAAGTGAGACAGTAACGGTGCCAAAATGTGATGGAGTGAAGTAACTCACTATATGTGAGTATTGTTTAGTAATGTTGTGTAGTAAGCAGACTTAGGTAGAAGGAGATAATATAAAGATACTCTCCGGCATTGAGTCGTAGAATTTGAAAATTCGGCAGTTAGGCCAGTGACAGCTCCAAGACGACTTCGGTTTCTCCAATTTTTCTTCCGTAGGGCACCATACAATTCCGTATTTTTTATTATTACCTACACTTACGTAATTTAACTACGATTGAATAATGAAAATAATACAATTTACTTAATTTTAATCTTTATATATACGGAACTACAATTTTGACATGTTCACCGGGCCCCATACAACGGGCCAATACAGTCAGATACAGGATGAGAGGTTCTCAGTGATTTTAGAACTTCTTCGGCTCTATCTAAGAAGTTCGTATAGTTATGGATAGGTTGGAAGTCACGATTATTAATTGGTTCGAGTTTTTAATTTAAGTTCGATTCTATATTAATTGGTTTTTCGGATGTGTTAAGTACAGAAAACGTAATTTTATTATTATCAGGTTTAACTTTTGCTAAACAATTAGATTTTTACCAACACTTATCAGAAAATATCCTTATAGGATATTATTGCCTTTTTATATCAAGATTTTCCACCGAACATTCAATAACTGTTTCTGTCCTCGGGTTAATTGTATGGGACGGTTCGTTAAATACAAGAGTCTATGCCTCTAACGGAAATATCACTAGGTGAAATGTTGATATCATTTTTGATGTCATTTTTTAAAAGGCATAGCAACGCGCCTGTATCAATAACGAAAAGTAAGGGTCGAGGATAAAATGATGTTAAAATTTTTATGTGAGGTAAGTACCTTTCTTTACTCATAATTTTGAATACGGTTTTGCGATGTATATTTCGGGCTGTAATACGCCGTTTGTGCACTGGATTTCTAATATTGTAATTACGAGGTCGGAGATTTATCGTGTCGTTCTTTGATATACGTCTCGCTCGTCACGGAAGCGGGACATTTAATGGTTTAAATCATTTTCGGCATCGGTTTCCGCGTCATGTCGACTTCATCGCGACCTTCGTCCTCGTATTCCTCGTCATTTGTAAAATTGACTCTATTAGAGGAATCATTTTTATGGGATTGTTCCCTTTTTCTTTTAAAGCGATTATTTATGTCATGGTCTGAATCTGGCAAAGAACAATGCCCACTTCCCATACATTTAAAAACGTGATAATGAAAGTTTATGTATAGTTACAAGGTATAGCAGAAAGACTACCTTTAAGTTAGTAAATTAATGTCATATAGTCATTTTTACGATTTCTGGTCTACGAAGTCCAAAAATTATTGAAAAATGTTACTTTTTAGGTTAGGATTTGCACTTACCTAATATAACGAAATAAATGTGCTAGAATTAATTATTTACGCTCAAGATTATTCTAAAATAGTAATACTTACCTATCTAAGGTCTAAACGTCCTTTTTACTTGTGAATTCCTAGAAACCAAATGCCCTTACGTCACTGCTAAGACTTGATTATTGTCACTATAAATTGAGTGTCGAGCATTATCTGCTGTTTCAACAGCTCACATAAGTACTTACTAACCACAAGTTTAGTTAAAAAAAAACAATGTTTAGATAGAACTTGCTCTTGTATTGTTAAAAGTGTTCATTTATCTGCCCTACACATTTCATTGTCCTGAACTACAATACACAATAAGCGATAATTATAATACCTGATGAATAAAATGGGGGAAAAAATAAAACACTATATTAGAGTGGAATAGTTTATTAATTATCATCATCTTCACTTAAATGTTATAACTATGTTATCCAGAAATATTTTCTTAATAGCTAATCCGAAGTACCATACTAAAGTCATGAGTGCAACATCCTATAGTTCATCAACCAACTAAACAATTACAACAGTATTCAACTATAAAAGCTCTGCCAGACATATTATTTTCTATTAAAATGTAGACATAATATTGTTTCTTTAAATGTGCATCTCACCACATCCTCTCAGATTATACCTAGAAAAATCTTCTGTGTCCCTACATATTTCTATTCTATATGATCCATGAAAGCGAATATGTTCCCCATAATAGGATTTGGTTTGCCTGATTTGGTAAGTGCCTAAAGCAAATAGTATAAGCTCACTATAACTTAACCTAGGAAACATAAATAATCTTCAGTAGTAAAAACACCAAGAACTTCATCAACATGCCTAATATGTGTGGCAGCACACTTACAACTCATCCAGCATGAATGGCATATTCTATCAGATGATGATATCTACAAAAGAAAACATTGAATGTATATCATGTATTGTAAACATATTAATAAAATACATTTCCATGTGACTTTAGTAGTAAAAAAGCAATAATTATTAACTTCATGTTAAAAATATATTAAAAAAAAATCCATTATTTATTTGTGGTTAAAACTATTACAGCATCAGTCAATTCTTAACAGATATAATAATTTACATCTAAAATACAAAAAAGAAATAATTTTGAGTAACAGTATAAAGTTTTATACTGGCAAATGATTAAAAATGTAGAAACATAAATATGTGATATATACATATTTCGGATATATAGATCTTTTGTACAGTTGGTTGTGTTATGTCACATGTACACTTTATAGGAGCTTTGTTAGTTTGATTAGGACATGATTGACATTTTTACATTAAAAATAATAAACATAAATACTCACAATTACTGGTGATATCCTTTCGCTAAGTAACGAAATAACTCTTGTGTTGAGCTCATGAACGAGATAACGTAGTAACGTATATAAGCAGACGTTGCAATTTATGCAAAGTATAAGTCGACTTTTTGCTGGAAGCGGAATTGTTAAGAGGACGGATTTACAACGGTATTGTAAGCAAAGGTTTTCAGATGAGGAATATATCGAGGTCCAGGGGCGGTAAATAGGGTCGAAAAAAGAAGAAATACACACACATAATGAGTCACTCGCAGAACTGTCAAATGTCAAAAAATCCGTTTACGTCAGTCGTGCTCGTGCGAACTTTATTACATGCTGCATTATTAATTTATTAAATTATTATTTTATTTGTAATAAATCTGAATTATACAAATACTAATAATTTCGTGCTTACACACTTCTATAAAACGTAAAATCATGTACAAAACTCAGAAAAAGTTGAATACAGTCAAGTAGGTAGTGTTGAAAATGGAACGTCTTAGGTAAAGGATTGTTAAGGTGTGTTCAAAACAATGTAATATGTTTACCCTTAAAGTAAAAAAAGCATAAAGAGATATCAAAAAATATTTTTATCCCGACCTTCTTTTAACATTGTGATAAGTGTAATAAGTATAAAATAAAATTAGCTAAATTTTAATGTTTATTTCATTTCTATACACAATCAGGTCAAAAATGGGCATTGTATTCTTTATGTATAGTTACAAAGTATCGTAGAAAGACTACCTTTAAGTAAATAAATAAAGGTCATACAGTCATTTTTACGATTTCTAGTCTACTAAGTCCAAATATTATTAAAAAATGTTACTTTTTTGGTTAGAATTTGCAGGTACCTAATATAACGAAATAAATGTGCTAGAACTAATTATTTACCCTCAAGTTTATTCTAAAATCCAATCCAATTTAGAATATAACAGTGTGGTTTGGAATCCCTTTTATGATATTTTTTTTTCGACGGTAGGTGAAGAAAAAGATTAGACGTTGCTCAAAAAGCTCTGTACGAAATAATTTACATTTTGGCAGTTTTTTGTGTTGTTTTCATTCCAAATTGTGTGTTGAGAGCTGGATTTAATGCTACTTACATTTGTAATATGTAACGTAAACACTGAAGATAGTCACCACCTGCCAGCACATCTGCACTATATTACACGTACGTTATTGGGATTATTATTGACACCAGGATGTCCAATTTAGCCGAGATAATCTCCACGCAGAACAGACTTGAGGAGAACATCACAAAAAAGTTCAATGACCTCCAAGCTCAAATCTCAAATGCGGGGTCTTCAAAGGATACTGTTTCAAAGGTTGCTGAAGAACTGCGTCGATTCAGAGAGATCATCTTTGGTATTCTTGGTCTTCTTCGGCAGCAAATAAGGGAGTGCAGCAAACAAGAGTTGACATGCAGCCAAATTGATTCTGGATGTCTTCATAACAAGTTGGGCCTGAGCGACATATCAAAGTCAGCACTTAAAGTTTGCCACAGCTCGGATTACCCGGTAAACAACATCATCGACCTATTTTAGTTCGATTTAAAGTATAGATATCAAGTCAACAGTAACAAGCTCAAAGGTTCCAGCGTGTCCCTCAAGGAATTTTTGACATTCAAGCGGCTTCATTTTGGAACCGTCGGAAGGCTATCATCATATCAGGAGTACCTGAGAAGGAAAACGAGGATTGCAGCCAATTTTTTTTAACTTATTTGTTAATAACGTTTTTTTTTTAATCGTTTCTTTATGTTCTTAGTTAATGTTTACATATGAACTAGTTCCAAGCCGTTGATTCATTGATTATAACGTTCTATGTTATTCTGTTTTAGTTTGTTGTTGTGTAAAAAATGTCTTCAAATATTTTGTAAGTAGTATGTACGATTGTTGGTTGCCTAACTATTAATGGTATTATGTTATATTAACAAATTCACAAAACTTTATACTTTAGTGTCATTATGATTGGCAACAAACAATGACGTAGTTTTGTTTTTCTTTCTTATTTGCTGTCAAATGGCGTTGCTTTCCGTTCCTTTTAAGTATTTGCTTTAAATAATTTTTTTTTTCATTTTTATTTTTACTTACTTTTTGCATTCCTTTGTGTTGATATTTCCTCTCAGCTGATTTTTTGTCATTTTTACTAGTGTTATGGTGCTGTGTACGCTGGCGGGTGGTGCAGAGATAATATTTTTTTTCCATCAATTTTTGCACTATTTCATTATTTATTTTTATTAATCTATATACAAAACTTATTAATTTATAGTAGTATTTATATTATATACATATTTTTTAATATGTCGAATATATCCGACGATGATTCATATTATTCTGCTAATGATTCTTTAGTTTCTGTTGCCGAAGACAGTTTTAGTTCGTTAGGCGGCTCACTTGAAGACTTTTTGACTACTAAGTTTTCGAATAATAGCAAAAACCTTCTAAATATTTGTCATTTGAATGCGCAAAGTGTTCCTAGTCACTTTTCTGACTTGTGCCTAGCATTTTCCAATTGCAACATGCATGCCATACTGATTTCTGAGAGCTGGCTTAAACCTCATTTGCTTTCCACAATGTATTCTCTTCCAGGTTTTGTTCTAGTCCGTAATGACCGTGTCGGTAAGGGTGGGGGCGGGGTTGCAGTATACTTAAGGTATGACCTCCCGTACAAGATGCTGGCCTCATCTTCTCAAAATTACTCGGCGTCTGCTGAGTTTATTTTTCTTGAGGTTACAGTTAAAGGCGCACTAATAGTTATAGCTGTCGTATACTGCCCCCCAAATGTTCACCGAATTCGAACCGGTACTTGAATCTTTGGGTTCAAAGTATGCTCACATCGTTATCATGGGCGATTTTAACACCAATCTCCTGTCCCATAGTTCTTCCCGCACACGTAAACTTCTACATATCATTGAGTCAAGCTGTCTTCACGTATTACCGCTTAAAGCTACTCATCATAATGACTTCGGTGAAGACACTTGGCTCGACCTAATCCTGTCCTCTAATCCTGCCTTGGTGTCCTCACATGGACAATATTCTGCCCCCGGTTTTTCTCATCATGACCTAATTTACCTGTCCTACCTCCTAAAGCCTCCTAAACCTAAACCCAAGGTTCTGCACAGCGCTCCTTCGCCAAGTTGAACATAGAGCTGATGTCTAGAGATGCAATTAACATAGACTGGAAGCCTTTATATGAAGCAGTGACCGTTGATGACAAAGTCAGCATCTTGAACCATCAGGTTACAAGGCTTTATGATATCCACGCTCCGGTCAAAAAAGTCAAACTGAGGCACCTTCCAGCACCATGGATGACTGATGGAATTCGGATGTTCATGAGGCGCAGGGACCGAGCGTTCCGAAAATATAAAAGAGATCGCTCTGATGAGAACTGGTCGTTTTATAAAGTGGCCAGAAATCGATGTAATCAGATGATACGCAATGCTAAACGCCGTCACATTCACAATAATATTTCTTCATCTACTCCTGCCGGTATCTGGAAGTTCCTTGGGACTCTTGGGACTCTCTTACCGATAAGCCGCGTATTTCAAACCCTCCTAATTCTATCGTATTGGATGATCTTAATCATCATTTCACTACCACTACCTCGATGGATCATCTGACAATATGCAACACTATTTCGTACTTAAATGATTTGACGCATCCTAGTGACATTTCGTTTCATTTCACTCCTGTTGCTTCAGACGAAACCAAAAAAGCAATCCTTAAAATAAAATCAAATGCGGTTGGTTGCGATTACATTGGCCGACGCATGATTATTCCTATCCTTGATTACCTCCTTCCTGCTATCACCCACATCATTAATTTCTCTCTAGATTCTGGACATTTTCCCACTATATGGCGTAAAGCTTTTGTCCGTCCACTCCCAAAGTGCTCCAATCCCTCAGATCCCGCCCATTATCGACCTATTTCTATTCTACCCTTTCTTTCCAAGGTACTTGAGTCTTGTGTGCTCAAGCAATTTTCTCGTTTCATACTTAATCACAACTTGATAAGTCCATTTCAATCCGGGTTTAGACCTGGTCACAGTACCACTACAGCTCTCCTTAATGTCACTGGCGATATTAGAACTGGCATGGAGGACGGTAAGATGACTGTTATGGTCCTTATCGACTTTTCCAATGCTTTTAATACCGTCAGTCATGATATCCTTTTATCTATCCTTTCCTATAATATGGTTTCTGATGAAGTACTGATATGGTTCTCATCCTATCTTCGAGGGCGCCAGCAATCAGTTAATGTCGGTGAATCTTCATCATGTTGGCTTAATCTTGTTGCTGGTGTTCCTCAAGGCGGTATACTCTTTCCTATCCTATTTTCTCTATTTATAAATCTCTTATCCCACGATCTTCAATGTGCGTATCATCTTTACGCTGATGACTTGCAGCTATATGCCCAGACTACTCTCGATAGCCTCGAAGAAGCTATTTATAAGGTTAACCAGGATTTAGTTGCTATTAAAAATTGGTCTGATAGCTTTGGGTTAACCGTTAATCCATCTAAATGCCAAGCTATTATCATCGGAAGTAGTAGTTCGTGTCTAAAAGAGCTACGCAAGCAAAGTAGAGTTGCAAGTGGAACTTTTCCGTATAATTCTGCGACAGCACTTTTGGTTGCATCTCGAGAACCGTGGCAATAAGCCATCAGATCGGACTGACATCCAACTCTGTCAAGACGTCTTAGTTAAGTCAATTAGAAATAAAGTAATTTTTAATTAGTTTTTAAAAAGTTATTTTACGCTCCCGCAAACTTGACTGGCGCAGCCGGTAGGACCGTCGCGATTCGGTTGCGTTGCGTACTTCAAGAAGCGATATAAAACTCTATCCAATCGAGGGTCCGCGGCGCGAGAAAACCGAGACGATCCACGAACCAAAGAAATTTGTCAAGAATAAAGGAGCTAATCCTGGACGATGAGAGCAGCCGGCGGCTGGTGAGTAGAACTTTTCACCATCCTTACCATCTCCTCAGCGTTCTGTTATCTTGAGATAGAACTTCTCTCATTTTAACGTTTTCTGGTTAATTAGTTATTAAATAAATAATTGTCTTTATATACACGTTTTATACAAGAAATAAGAATTAAGAAATATACATAATTAAATTTATAATACTTATACATAAGTTAAATTTTAAACTTTTATTGTAATTTTTAAACTTTTACATTTTTATATACCATAATATTACTTAATATTAAATTTTTGTGTTTTTATATTAAAAAAATTTTTTAATCATGGAAAATATTAGATTAATACCAAGCGAAATTATTAAAATCATTCCCATATTTGACGGTGACAAACGTCACTTAAACTTATTTTTAAGAAAGTGTGAATATGTATTTGATAGATTCAAAGGCTCTAACGAACAAAACACCTATGTAATGTATACGATAACGGGTCGTCTTATCGGCGACGCAGCTGCATTAGTCGGGGAGCGCGACGACATAACAACGTGGGAGGAATTTCGCGATTTGTTAATTCAGCATTTTGGTGATCCACGAAGCGAGGAATGTTTAAACATTGAGCTCGAGACTCTTAAAATTAAACCTAACGAAAGTTATCTTGAGTTTTGTAATAGGATTCAATCTGTGAGATCTATTTTAATAGGCAAAGTAAATTTAATACCAGATATAAATATGCGTACAAGTAAAAGAATAATCTATGAAAATACGTCCCTCAACACATTTTTATACAACTTACCTGAACACTTAGTGAGATTGGTACGTCTTAAAGCACCGAGATCTTTAGAAGATGCGCTTAGTGTCGTACTAGAGGAAGTTAATTTCCATAATCAATATCAAATGAGAAATAAAACTTCTGGCTCGAATTCATCACATAACTCATCTTCTACACAGGCACATAATAACACATCCGCATTTAAATTCGGTAACAACACATTTAACCAACACCCCTCTAACATTAAACCTCCACTAAATAACCAACCTGCACGATTTAATTTTGGCATCCCTCCTAATAATCAAACGCCAATGAATAACAACCATAATCAGCAGAAACAATTTAATAATTTTGGAAATTATTACCGACCTCCACAACCGAATCAAATGCAATTCGGGTATCGTCCACCTCAGTTTGGTTACAGACCTGTTGGCCTTCAGCCCTTACCCCCGATGCGACCTCAACAATTTGGGACATGGCAACGAAATAATGCCACTAATAATAATGTACCTCATCAGAGTCAAAAACAAATTAACACCGATGTGTCAATGCGTACCGCCCCTGCACCGCGACCGCAGCAAGGATTTAGATTAAATGAATTAGAGTTATATGACAATAATTATAATGAATATATGAACTACTACGACGATAACTATTATAATGAGCAATATACATGTGAGGATTTTAATTATAATGAACATCATGAATTAGAAAATAATCCATGTATCGAAGCAGAAACCAACCCAGTGGAAAAATTACCGGAAGAAGTTGAAAATTTTCACGTAACGGCCTCAACCAATATAAAGAAACCATAGAATTAAATTGCGACGTGAATTTAAAATTGCCCTACATATA